TTGAAAGAATTAGAGAGAGGGAAAGACGGGGAGATCTTCCATCTGCTGGTTCACTCCCCCAGATGGCTGCAATGGCTAGGGTTGTGCCAGGACAAAGCCAGGAGCCAGGCACTTCTTCCACGTCTCTCACATGGGTGCAGCAGCCCAAGCACTTGGGTCACCCTCTGCTGCTTATCCCAGGGGCATTGGCAGGAAGCTGGATTGGAAGAGGAGCAGCCGGAACTCAAACTGGCGCCCATACGGGATGCCAGCATTGCAGGCAGTGGCTTAACCTTCTGTGCCACAGCACCAGCCCCTCAGAGAACTCTTGCTCCTCTTCTGAGACCGGTCCTGAATCCCCTCCTCTAGATGTCTTCCCAGCTGCTGGAGGCAGAAGCTCGGCCGCTTGGCTGGTTCCTCAGTCACAGCTCTGCCCCCTGTGGTACGGGTGCTCTCCCTGCTGGCCTGAGGTGCTTACTAACATGGGGCATGGTGCGCCCTCACCCCTCAGCAGAGGTGCAAGTCTCAGGCCCTGTGTTTGTGACTGTGGCCTCCCCCGGAGAGAGGGGCTTTGCAGGTGTGCATAAGCACCCCTAGGTGAGATCATCCTTACCGGAGGAGGAGCCATGCGATGATGGAGGCAGAGCGGAGTGAGGCTGGCTCATGTGCAGGATCCTGGGAGACAGGCACAGCAGAGAGGCCTCCCTGGTCTTTGGAGGGAGCCGGTCCTGGTGGCCCCTGGACGCCAGACTTGAAGCCTCCAGGCCCGCAAGATGACTGTTTGGTGTTAAAGCCCCCAGTGTGTGGTCCTTTGTCATGGCAGCCTTTGGAAGCTAACACAGGGGGTCTGGTGTGGAGTAAGGAAGGGCTCAGCGTTTGCTGAGTGAATGGGAGAACTAGAAAGGCTTGCTGGTCTGTGGCCAGTGCTGGCCGCCTCGGGTACCCTCAGGATGCCCTTGGGACATCATTTCTCGCCGCTCCCCTGTTGGCTCACACCCCCTCGGGCATCCTCACCTGAGCTTGGGGAGGCTGCCCCCTCCCAGGTGTCTGGCTGAACATGGGCTCTGCTTCCTTGGAGAACAATGAGGCAGAACAGGCTTGTGACCACACTGTGGCCAGTGGGACAGGAGCGGGGGACGCTGGGGCTTTGGAGAAAGGGTTCTGCGTCCTGGCTTTTCCTCTTTTGGGTCTTGGCAGACACGGGAGACGTGCCTCCCCCACTGCTACCCTTGTACTTCTGACCACACCTGCCCCGGGCTTCTAGCACTGTGGGAGTATTGACTGGTGGGGCATCTGAATGCACCCTTCAGCCACGGAACCCAGGGCTTCATGATCAGCAGTACTGATGGGTACACTGAGGCGCAGATAGACAAACTGTGCTGTGGGGGACAAAGGCGCCATCCCAGACCTTCCTGAACCCACACCTGCACATACGTGCTCCAGCCTCGCACACACACTCGCTCTCGGCTCTGCCCCGCCCCCCCCCCCCCCCCCTCAGGCCAGCTGGGTCAGTGGGTTGATGCCCCTGGCAGTGCAGTGACTGCTGGGTCAGCTCCAGGGAGCCAGTTAACCAGCACTGGGGCCTTAGCTGACTCCTCCACATCAAACCCACTTAGCGTGCAGGGAGAGAGGTTTACAGAGGTCGCAAGTTCTGGACCGAGCCACACAGACTGGAAATGGACCTGACCTGGCTGGCTCCACCGCACCTTTCTTTTTTTAAAAAAGATTTTATTTATTTATTTGAGAGGTAGAGTTACAGACAGTGAGAGGGAGAGACAGAGAGAAAGGTCTTCTATCCACTGGTTCACTCCCCAAATGGCTGCAACGGTCGGAGCTGCGCTGATCTGAAGCCAGGAGCCAGGAGCCAGGAGCCAGGAGCCAGGAGCCAGGAGCTTGGAGCTTCTTCCCAGTCTCCCATGTGGGTGTAGGGGCCCGGGGACTTGGGCCATCTTCTACTGCTTTCCTGGGCCGCAGCAGAGAGCTGCATTGGAAGAGGAGCAATCGGACTAGAACCAGCGCCCATATGGGATGCCGGACCCGCAGGCAGAAGATTAACCTACTGCGCCATGGCCCTGGCCCCGACCACAGCACCTTTCATGTGCCCCTGTGGGGACACTGCGCCTATACTAGCACTTCGATGGCTGCTGGACAGCCCTGAAGCCCAGGAGTGCCTAGCTCCTCACGGGCATCCAGCCGGTGTTTGTTGAATGGATACACGAGTCCTCCAGGATCCCAGGCTTGAGAAAGGCTAAGGAAGACAGGCAACCACAGGCCCTGCCACATGCCCGTTGGTCTTGGCAGCACCAGGAGCTGGGCGCGGCTGCTGTTCTGGGCGGGGCTTCCTCTCACCGAGGCTGCCAGCAGCCCTCGAGAGGCCCCAGTTGGTCCCCAGGGATGGGCGCTTCTCTGAACAATGTCAGGAAAGGAAACCAGACCCAGAGGCTCTTGGGGGTTTTCTGGCAGTTTCTGTCTGTGTGGGGGAGGGGGCAGGCTGGCAAGGCCCCCTAGGGCAGGGTGGTGGCCCCAGCCCAGCCACTGCCCTTGACAGCTGGGACACCCAGGCATGGAAGAACCCATGTGCATTCAAACAATGGTTCTCAGGAGCCTCACGATGAAGTCTCACGGTGACGTGCGCTGCGTGCCGCTGTGTGTTGGCACACTCAGCTCCCTGCTGCCTGTTCTCAACTCCTTAAACAACCTGGGGGCGGGGGTGTTCTTCTAAACAGCTGTATTGAGCTGTCATTCACAGGCCGCAACTCAGTGGCCGCAGTTACAGTGTGTTCAGCTATTGCGTCACCCCAGAGAGAGGCCCTGTACCCCTTCGCTGCCACCTGCCAGTACCTCCACCTCCCCAAGACCTCAGCTACGCTCAGTTGACAGATTTGCCAATTCAGGTTATTCCAAAGGTGGCAATCAGGACATTCAGAGAGGGTCAATGGGCAGCTCAGGCCGCATAGCCCAGGAACAGGCAGCTCTAGGACTTGAACCCAGGTCTCCTGTTCTCCAAGGCAGTCCTGTTAGGTGGCAATGCTAACACTAGCCAGCCCTGGTCGGTGAGGTGGGGTGAGTCTCATTTAATCCTCACTGGCACTTGCCTTGGAGGAGGCTCAGCCCTCAGACCCATCTTAACCGAGGGGGAATGGGGCAGAGGCACACAGACGTTCATGGGCTCCTAACAAATGGAAGAGGGTCAAAGGGGAAAGCCGGTGCAGGCGTGGGGACAGGTGAGGGACGTGAGCGAGGTCCACGCGTGCTGGCTGGCGCACTTTGCTTCCACAGCATACTTTCTCCACACCCTCCTCCTCTTTCTTTCTACAGGAAAAGGAAAAGAAAGTTCCCTCCACCCTTTGAGGTCACTTCCTGACCTCTTTGTGACTCGACTCAGTGGTCACACACTCACTTTTGGCTGCCTGTCCCCTCCTGTTAATGCTGGGGACGGGCAACACCTGGCACCAGGCAGCCCCCAGGTTCCAGCCCTGCCTGCCCCACGCTGCTGCCCTGCGGTGGCTGAGCTGGGATGGACTGTTCCTGCCCGGAGTCTCCCCACCTCCCCGGTGTCCCCTGGCAAGAAGCTCGGCTGCACACCGCCAGCTCAACTTCTTTTATTTTGAGCAGCTGAGATGGAGATGAGAAAAGACACGAGAAGCCCCAAGTAGTCCCATCTGCAACCTTAGATTCCTCTAGTTGTTTACCTGAAAAGGCGGGGCAAGGGCGGAGGGTGTCAGTAAAAAATGAGGCAAAGAAGAAGCGGAATTTGAAACCTGAAAACAAGAAACAGCCAGCAAAGCGCCCCCACGAGGGGCACCATCTCATGCATGCACAATGCACACGCTAACCCCAGCGAGGCTTTGGGCTGCCACCAAGGACTACGACAGGGTGCTCCCCGTGCACGCCTGCTCCACATGTCCTTTTGTGCCCTGCTTCCCACAGACCAGAGAAAATCCCTGCCAGATTAGCATCCTCTGGATGGGCTTTTAGGAGCCAGGGCTCCTGACTGTGGTCTCCAAAGTTCTGATTGCCCTCAGTTTTATTTGCCCATGAGAGATGTCCCATGCTCCCCTACATGTGTAGATTTTGTAGTAATAAATTATACATAAGCGGGCAATTCAAAACTTCATGGAAAATGAAATTAAAAGATGAATTTCTTTGGGCATGAAGCATTTTGAAATTCATTCATTCAAAGGATTTTTTTTTCTTTTTTCTTTTAAAGATTTTTTTTAAAATTTTTTTGACAGGTAGAGTTACAGAAAGAGAGAGAGAGAGAAAGGTCTTCCATCCGATGGTTCACCCCCCAAATGGCTGCAACGGCCAGAGCTACGCCAATCCGAAGCCAGGAGCCAGGTGCCTCCTCCTGGTCTCCCATGTGGGTGCAGGGGCCCAAGCACTTGGGCCATCCTCCACTGCCTTCCTGGACCACAGCAGAGAGCCGGACTGGAAGAGGGGCAACCGGGACAGAACCTGGTGCCTACATGGGATGTTGTTGCCGCAGGTTAACCTAGTGTACCACAGCCCCCCCCCCCCTTTTTCTTTTTTAAAGATTGTATTTCTTTATTTGAGAGGTAAAGTTACAGGCAGAGAGAAGGAGAGAGAGAGACAGAGGTCTTCTATGTGCTGGTTCACTCTCCAAATGGCCACAACGGCCAAAGCTGCGCCGATCCAGGAGTTTCTTCTGGCCTCCCACACAGGTGCAGGGGCCCACGCACTTGGGCCATCTTCTCTGCTTTCCTGGGCTACAGCAGAGAAGAGAAGCAGCTGGGACACAAACTGGTGCCCATATGGGATGCTGGCACCACAGATGGAGGCTTAGCCCACTACACCACGGCGCCAGCCCCTATACAAGGGACCTTCTAAAAGTTCCTGGAAAACAGCTATTATGAAAGAACTATGCATGCATTAAAGAAGTTTGCACCAAGAGACTTATCTTTTAATTCTACTTTTCACAAATTTCTGAAGTGCTATCATATAGATGGCTATCCTAATATGCTACTGAAATTTTGTAACACGAACCCAACTACAAATAATAAAATTGAAATGATTTACTTTTATTTCTTAGATCTATTAATTTATTTGAACCACAGTGATAGAGGGAGACAGAGAAAATTATCTTCAGTCTGCAGGTCACTCTTCAAATTGCCACAACTGGAACTGCGCCAGGTCAAAGCTAGGGGTGGGGAACTCCACGCAGGTCTTGCACATCGGTGGCAGGGGCTCTTGGCCCTCTGCTGCTGCTCTCCCGGGGGCTTTAGCAGGGAGCTGGATCAGAAACAGAGAAGCTGGGACTTGAACTGCAGCTCCCAGAGGGGAGGCCGGTGTTGCAGGCGGCACCACAGCAGCTGCCCCCGAGGGGATTGATTAAAATGAATCCACACGGAGGCTCTGAAAAACAGCTACAAAAATCAAGGCAAAGAAATCCCACCCACACTTAGCCTTACTCCTGGCAAAGTCACTCCATGGCTTCATGCCGTCGATGGCAGAACGGGTCTTCCCAAGACGTCTTTAAAAAGCAGGAGATCAGCGGATGGGGGGCGACTGGGCCCTGCACACACCTGGGAAGGAAGCAATGAAGGACATGGGTCCGCAGGTCTTGGAGTCAGCGCTCTGGACCCAGCGCTTCCAGGGGGAGCAACGTAGCTGTGGCGTTGAAGCGCTCTTGGGGAGAGGCCGCCTCGGTCCCATGAAGATGGGTGCGCACAAAGGCAGGACGTCGGGCAGAGCGGTTGAGACCCCCAGACCCGCACTGGAGAGCCTGGGGCGATTCCAGACTCCCCCTCAATGCCGAACGAGGAGGAGGCAGCAGTTGGGGGCCCTGGCACCCACGTGGGAGACCTGGTTTGAGTTTAAAAGATGCACTGGAAGAGCTTTAACAAAACCATTTCGTGAACGAGAGAATGGGACAAAGTAGCATTTCAAAACAAAACAAAACAAAAACAAAAACAAACAAAAAAACAAGAAATAAAAAACCAACCCTGAAACCTACGTTCTTCTCATTGGAAAAACTGGGGAGCCACCGTCCGGGTTCATTCCGTTTTGGCGATGTTTCTGCATCTGCGAACACGGAGGCTGAGGGCAGAGTGGCCCCCTAAGGTGGTGAGCTTCGTTCTGACCCCAACGCGGCCTCAGCGACTTCCAGTTGGGGTCAATCACACACGCGCACGACACCTGCACCCAGTAGGCGCGCTCACCTAGAGCCGCGATGTCCGGGAAGCTCTACTCTTCCCACCTGGCCGCTGGCTTCCCCTTCGGCAGCCTCAGCTTGGGTGCCGGGCCTGGGCCGCCCCCGTAGCGGTGCCGGGAGAGGCGGGCCGGGCCGGCGCGGGGGGTGGCCCGGGAGGAGTCACGTGGCCCCGGGCCCCGGCCAAAGCAGAAGTTGCGAGTGCTGGCGGAGGAGAGCGTGCGCCGAGGGAGTGCCCGGAGCCCGGACGCGGGAGGCTGCGCGGGACCCCGGAGCCCGGAGCCCGGACCCTCGGCTGGGCGGACGGCTGCGCCCCGGGTGCGCGATCAGGTGAGTAGTTTAGCCAAGCGGGAGCGCAGCCGGGCGCACAGGGACCTGCGCTCGGCGGCGGCTGCGGCGGCGGTAGCGTCGGGCGAGATGCGCCCAGCGGGGACCTGCGCCCCTGCAGGGGTAGCGCGGCCGTCGGGGACCCCCTGCCCCCGGCCTGCTGTGCTTGGGGCCTGGCTGGCGACTGGCGAGGATCCGGGCCCCGCCGCCGGCCACTTCCTCACCCGAGGCCGGCGCCACTTCTCCGGTCCGTGCTTCGAGTGGGAACCGGAGGAAGCGGCTCGACTTGGGGGCAGGGGTCGCATGGACGCCGGGTCCAAAGGTCCTGGCCGCGCGGTCCCGCGTGGGGTGGCGCCGCGGCCGGAGCGCGCCTGTCCGGAGCCCGCCGCCGCTGCGGCCGCACTTCCCCGTATTTCACAGGTGGCCGGGGGCGGAGGTACCACGGAGGGCCCAGCCAGCCCCCGGGAGCGTCTCTTTCCCCGCACTCCTCGGAGTGCTCCCGTGCCTCGGAGTCCCGAAGAGGTCCGTACCCCCATGGCGGAGGAATTAATTCGAAGGAAAGACGTGGATTCGAGTAGAGGCTGGGCTGGGGCCCGCGAAGCCCCCTGCTTTCGAGCTAGGCCAGGGCCTATTGCGGGCGAGGGTCGACGCGGCGCCCAGAAGCAGGGGGCAAGCCTCCTGGGAATTTCGGTCCCAGCGGCTTGATCCCGGTGTCTCCCACTCGCCCCCTGGCTACTGCAGCCGCCAAAGCCCACTTTCTGGCTGTGAAAAGGGCACCCGAACCCCGGCCTGCTGGTCTAGGCGTCCCTGGGGCGGCTGCCGTAGGCGGTTTCCCCTGTTAGAGTTGGGCAGGCGGCTGCGGGCAGGGCAGCCAGGCTCGGGTGGCTGCTCCTCGAGGGCCTTCCGCTCCCCAGCCAGCGTGGACCCACGCATCGCCCTCAGGCGCTCCCTGGCCCGTTAGTGGAAGATGGCTGGGGATAAAACTTTGGACAACTCCCGCTTAATTGAGAACCCGGTAAAGCTCAGCCATTATGCCCCACCCCTCACCCCACATGAACGCAGTCCTCTGCCTCCCCACCCCGTGGGAGTGACCGCCGCGCCTGGACCCACGGAGGAGCGGCCTTTGGGACAGGACAGGAGCCAGTGCACTGCGCTCAGTCTCCATCTCACGGATCTTTCCAGGTCCGGTTGACTGTTTCCGGTGTCCCCCTGTGCCAGGCTGTAGCACTGTCCTCAGTGTGTCTCCCAGCATTTATTTAGGGGACCCCCCTCACCTCCCAGAATTGATGAGGAGGTGTATGTATGTGATGTGTGTGTGTGTGTGTGTGTGTCTTACAAGCACTTCTGGGAACGTCTTTGTGCCTGCCTGGGCACTGTGTTTTTGTTGGATTAAAACATATGAAAGCTCATGTAGGTATTACAGCTTTTTTTTTTTAAGACTTAGTCATTTGAAAGACAGAGTTGCAGAAGGGGAAGGGAGGTGGAGAGTGAGAGGCAGACAGGCGGAGACACACACACATACACACACACACAGATCTTCCCTTCACTGGTTTACTCTCTAAATGGCTGCAACAGTCGGGGCTGAGCCAGGCTGAAGCCAGGAGCTTCATCTGGGTGTCTCCTGTGAGTGGCAGGAGCCCAGGCTCTTGGGCCATCTGCCTCTGCTTTCCCAGGGCATTAGTAAGGAGCTGGATTGGAAGTGGAGCAGACGGGAGCCAGTGCTCATGTGGGATGCTGGCTGCGGCCCCACCCGCTCCTCCATCACCAGGCCCCTAGGTGTCGCATCTTAATGAGTACTCACAGGGTGGTCTAAGGACAACACAGACAACTGAACCAAGTTACACTGCTCCCTATAGTGCTGGACACGTCCTGGTTCCTTTGGAGAGGATGGGTCCCAGATGTGCCGGAGGTGTCAGATGCAAGGGCCGAGGGACAGGGTGGTTACCACTCAGAGGTCCGGCTGTGCTGAGTTGGAACAGAATTCTTCCGTGGGATTTCGGATGCAATCCTGCTGTGCCCTCGTGTATGCAGAGAGCGTCAGGAGAAGAAAGCACCCCTGGTTCCTGGTTTTGGGGGCTCATGTAGCTCAGAAGTTTATTTCGAAGAGAAGGATGTATGATGTAAAAGTGGCAGCGCCTCTGTGACATCTCAGCCGTGTTGATTTTTACACCTCAGTCGCTGGGACTTACCTAGGGAGGGTGAGAAACAGGAAGAAAAGAGGGATTGTGAGGTTGTTTCTTTGTTTTCTTATTTATTTATTTTTTTTAAAGCAGAAGCAAAATGGAAATTGCTCTGCCAGTGAGTGCCCTCCTGTGGGGTCAAGGCCTCAGAGACAAAGCTCGGAGCTGTGCAGGCTGGACATGGCAGCGGGCAGGATTTCGGTGGTGACTTCAGGCGTCTTTTGGCACAAGGGCCCCTTCCTGGGGGTGAGAGGCACCCTGAGAGCGCCGGTGTTGCTAGATCCCCGGAGCTGCTGAGCTGGAAGTATGAGTCCCAACCCCTCCCAGAAGCAGGGCTGGGCAGACCCCAGGAGCCTGGCGCCTTGTGCTGGTTTCCGTCTGATGGGGGGTGGTGAGCTGTGCTTCCTCCTCACGCCCTGCCGGACGTCAGCCTTGAGACCTGCGAGTGGGAAACCCCAGAGGCACGTGGCGGGAGGCAGGCAGAGCCCCACGGTTGAGGCCAGGCTGGAATGCTGGTTATGCCAGGCTGTAGCCGTGTGACCTTGGATTAGTCCTTTAGGCCCTCTTGAGTGGGACAGGGGCCGTCAGAAGATTCTGGAATGCAGGAGCTCAAGGACCTGGGGCTTGGGACTGGGACCAGGGTTTCCAATTTGCTCCCGCTGGTCTGTGTGACTTTGGCCAAGTGCACCTCTCAGGACTTGAGTTTTCCCTTAGGTATTTCTCATGGAGAGAAGTGAGAGGAAGCAGGTAGGGCAGGGGCCAGGCACTGGGGGGGGCGGTGGGGCTGCTCGCTCCTTCCTCGGTCCTGGGTGATGTGCAGGAGGTGCTAGGAGTCTCTGCAGACAAGATGCACTTGGACTTCAGCAGACTTCTCCGCACACCTGTTCGTTGTGTCTCCTGGCCTTGGCTGAAGCTGGCTCCTCCTGCTTCCTGTTTGTAGTGTGTTTATTTTGTTAAAAACTTTATTTCAAAGGTAGAGTTAAAGACGGAGAAAGAGACGGAGAGAAAGGTCTTTGATCCGCTGGTTCACTCCCCAAATGGCCGCAGTGATCGGAGCTCTGCCAACGCAAAGCCAGGAGCCTCTTCCAGGTCTCCCATGTGGGTGCAGGGGCCCAAGGACTTGGGCCATCTTCTGCTGCTTGCCCAGGCCACAGCAGAGATTTGGATCATAAGAGGAGCAGCTGGGACTAGAACCGGCGCCCATATGACATGGCCACGCTGCAGGAGGAGGATTAACCTACTGTGCTACAGAGCCAGTCCCTGCTTCATGTGTTTAAAAGATTGTATTCTGTTGCCCCTTTATTCCAGATGCTTTTCTACATACTCGAAACTCCTCACCCCTCCCCAGAGTAAAATCAGGGCCCCTTCTCACAGCCCCCCTGCCCTCTGCCACTGTACTTATTTCTACTTTGGAATTGTCTGGTTTGTTTCCAAGAGGGCGGAGAGCAGGTGCAATTAATGATTTTAATCTCAAGCTGCCAGCACACCTGAGGAGGTGCCCTTGGTTCTGGGTATGTAGGGGAGGGAGGGGACAAAGGGCAAGGCTTGGGCCTGTCCTGTTCCACCTGATTTGCATCCTGGTCTGGCTGTGTCTGGTTCCTGCCCCAGGGCTGGCCCTTGATTAGCATGTTCGCCAGCTGGGTGATGAGTGTTAACTGAGGCCGTGCTCAGTGCTGTGGGCCAAACACACACGTTCAGCTTTTAGTCCTTTCAGCTGTCTCTTAAGGGCCTCCCCCTGCCCCTTACAGTTTGACAGTTGGGGTAACTGAGGCTTAGATTTCCAGCAACTTGACAGGAGACTGAGCCAGGCTGGATGTCTGGCTAGCCCTGGCTGCGTGCCTGCCTTTCACTTCAGGGTCTCTGCATGGAGAGCTTTCTCTAGTGCCACTGCATCACCTCAGGGCTACAAAGTAACAACTGTGGGCGTCTGCAGGGACCCAGAGGAGGACCTGGACCCCCGGAGGGTTGGTGTCTGCAGAGTAACAGTAACTAAATCTAGACAGACCTGACTTTGGATCTTTGCTTTAAGGGCCTGAGATAGGTTACCTTACTTAACCCTTACGAGAAGTGTAGGAGTTGGATAATGCTCCCTTCTCCTTTTACAGGCCTGGCACGGGTCTGCGTGACTTCCTGTGGCAGCTGCTTCTGAGCTAGCAGGCTGGGCCCTGGGAGTCCAGAACCTGAGGACCCTGAGTGCTCTCAGTCCTGTGGCCGGGGCAGGCGATGTGACCTGGGACATGAATAGCGGGGTGGCACAGAGCGAGGGCTCGGGGCCCAGCTGTGGGGTCAGAGCAGAGATGTGACATACATGATTTGACTCGAGTTCTGAGAGGGATTTTCTGGCTCCTGGTCTGAGAATTAGTGGTAGGGGGCCAGGACAGAAGCAGGCAGGGCAGTTGGCAGTGATTAGAATAATCCCCACCTGGGACTCAATTGGTTAATCCTCCGCCTGCGGCGCCGGCATCCCATATGGGCGTCGGGTTTAAGTCCTGGTTGTTCCTCTTCCAGTCCAGCTCTCTGCTGTGGCCCGGGAAGGCAGTGGAGGATGGCCCAAGTGCTTGGACCCCTGCACCCACATGGCAGACCAGGAGGAGGCATCTAGCTCCTGGCTTTGGATCGGCACAGCGCTGGCTGTAGCAGCCATTTGGGGGGGTGAACCAACGGAAGGAAGACCTTTCTCTCTTTCTCTCTCACTGTCCGTAACTACCTGTCATATAAAAAAATTACTAAAAAAAAAATAATAGTCCCCATCTGAGATCCTAGGAGGATGCATTCCGGGCTTGCTTGTGGGTCCTGTGGGAGTCCAGACATGATGCCTCCCAGACTTTGGGCCCAAGCCCATCCCTGATAACTATCGACTTGCCACGAGAACCAGCAGAGGTGGATGATGCTTCCTGGATGCTGGACCCCAGGTGCTGCGCTGTGGCTTCATCGCTGTCAAGACATTCCTGTTTCAGACACGATGAAACTGGGGCAAGGAGACAGGCACAGCAGGCTGCGGGGCCCTTGCCTTCGGCCGGGACCTACGCCAGGGTTTGGACTTGAGGTTGCTGGGTCCTGACATTTTCTGTCCCTTTGATCCCATTTCCACGCAGAGGAGTCCGTCATTGTCATTTTTGTCTGTTGCTCATTTCTGCTAGGGAGTAAAGGGGTGGCCACAGGGGTCAGACGAGGACACTGGGCTCAGGGTTGGGAGGCAGGTTGGGCTGCTTTGCCTATTCAAATAATCTGCCTGATGAAGGGGGGCGCTCAGGGCAGGGGTCATCGTGCCAGGCTGGGGTGATTTGGTTATTCAAAGCCGGGGTAGCGGTTGAGTCACAACAGTCAGGGGCTGGCTTCTTCCACACCTGGGCTTCTGTTGAAACCTCCGTATTCTGCCCAGGCTTTCACAGTAGCCACTAGAACCTTCTCCTAAAACTCATCGTGGGGGGATTTTGGCTCCTGGGGTCCGCGTCCTGTTATCGAAGTTAACTAACCCAGTGAATTAAAATCAGCTCATGGCCTTGTTCTCTTCCCAGCCTCCTCAGTTCTCCCGAGTGCTCCCTTCGCCCTGAAGAAGATGGCAATGCCCACCATGGTGAACGTGGAGGCCCTCCCGGAATACGAGAAGAGCCAGATCAAGAGAGCCCTGGAGCTGGGCACGGTGATGACCGTGTTCAGCTTCCGCAAGTGCACCCCAGAGCGGAGGACTGTCCAGGTGATCATGGAGACGCGCCAGGTGGCCTGGAGCAAGACGGCTGACAAGATCGAGGGCTTCTGTGAGTACCCGCCGGCTGGGGCATGTGGCCGGTTTCCGCCCCAGCGCCTTCTCCTCTGCTGCCTTCGATTGTTACCATTGTTGCAATTCTTGCTGGTTTGATACTGTGTTTTATTCTTTTAAAAATGGAAGTGTGGTTGGGTGGTGTGAAGCTCAGGCAGGTTTAGAGCAGGGGAGGGAAGTGCTGGGTCCCAGAACAGAAGTGCCATTCAGCGAACTTGGACTTGACTTTGAACTTGGACTTGACTTGGAGGCGCTTGCTGGGGCTGCTCAGTGTGTTCCCTGCCTGGAAGCCATGTGGTGCCCAAGCCCACAGAAGCCATGTGCTCTCTTAAGGGCCACACCATAGCTTGGGGGCCGAATGCCCGCTGCTGACCACAGCAGCCGGAGCCGCTGAATGTCAGAGCTGCGGGTCCTGCTGGAGCGGTCTTTCCTTCCCCACCTCCCAGAGACTGACTGCTTTCAAGATTCTGTTTTTAACCGGCAGAGTGGGGGCACTTAGGCAGTTTTCAGTTACAGAGGCTTGCTTTATGTTGCGATTTTTTTTTTTTTATTAACTAGTGTTTAATGGAAAAACCAGAATGCCCTCTTGCAAGCCAGGGAGTCGGGCAACTCCCCAGCAAGCCTCTGTTCCCTCACCCTTAACCCATACCCCGGAGGCAACCCCAGTGCCAGTGTCTCTTGTTATTCAGGGCTACGCTCTGCAAGTGTAATGTGTGTGTGTGTGTGTGTGTGTGTGTGTGTGTTTCAAAAATGGGAACTTCTGTGCCTTGATTTCTGTTTTCACTTAGTGATCTCTTGGGGGTGTGTGTGGGGGGGTGTTCCTTATCAGCACAGGTTGATCTGCCTCATTCCTCGCCGCCAGGAAGCAGCTGGCACATGGCACTGTGTAACACTTTAACCCAGGGTTGGACATTTCGTGCCGTTTCCAGCTCTGCTGTTAGCTGCAGCAGCTACTCTTGCATTTTTATAATAGTTTTATTGGGTTACAAATCACAGTTATATTTAATTTGCCAATTTAAATGTATAATATGGTGGTTTTATTCACAGTTATGCATGAATGCCACAATCTTGCATATCTTTGAAAGTTTTGTTATTTGGGAGAGAGAGAGAAAGAGAAACCAAGAATTCTTCTCCACTGGTTCATTGCCCAAATGCCCACAATGGTCAGAACCAGGATAAGGTCAAAACTAGGAGCCAGGAACTCTGAGTCTCCCACAGCTACCTGAGCCATCACCTGCTGCCTCCCAGGGTCTGCGTTAGGAAGCTGGAGCCAGGAGCGGAGCTGGGCATCAGACCCGGGCACAGCAATGTGGAACGTGGGTGTTTTAACTGCTGGGTCCAATGCCTGTCCTCACACTCAATTTTGGAACATTTTTAGCCCCCCAAGAGAAAACTGCACCCTTCAGCCATGCCCCATCCTCACATCCTCCCCCTCAGCCTTTAGCAGCTATAATCGACTTTTTCTCTGTAGCTTCCCCTGTTCTGGACTTTTTTCTGTGAATGGAACTATGTAAGAGGTGGCCTTTGGCAACTGCTCCTTGCACTCGGCAGCATGTTTTCAAGGCTTACCCACTTGGGAGGATGCATCAGAAGTCCACTCTTCCTTACAGCTGAGTAGGATTCTGTCTGACCATTCCTGTTTGCTTCTCCAGTGGTCTCTCTGGGTTACGTCCCCCTTTTGCTGCCACGAGTGGTGCTGCTGGAAGCGTTCGTGAACATTTTTCCAGTGTGGAGGTTTTTATTTCTCCTGACTGTGTCCCTCGGAGTGAAGTTGATGGGTCGCAGGCCCCCGCCGTTGATGCCTGGCGGGATAGCCAGGCTGCTCCCAGGTGGGCGCACCACTTAATCTCTCACTAGCAGTGTGGGAGGGGGATCTTTGCACACAAACGGCTTTGCCCAAAAGCCTGGATCTTGGAAGATTTGTTTCTGAGTTCAGGGTTATAGCGTATTTTAACTTCAAAGGGCGTTTTGGTGACATCCCACAAGAGAGCCATGAGGTCTCACAGACAGCACCTGCTCCTCATAGCCTCACCCTCACCTCCGTGGGCTTCCACACGAGTCACTTCTGGGTGGGCACCAGGAGCTTGGCACGATTCTTGATCGGATTGATCTTATCAGGAGGGAAACTACGGAACAGTTCCCAAAGGAAGCCCTGCCCCCTGTCTGTCTGTGGAGGTGGCCAGCTCCGCCCACACCCCCAGTTGTGTTTGTTGAGTTTGCACTCCGTCTCTCGGGTGCCCAGACTGATGCAGCCAGGCTGGGGGCTTGCAGGTGGGGCCAGGCACCAATGGTCGACACAGGTGGGAAACACAGGGTGGCTGGTGGGTTCCTTTCTCGCCCTGACCAGCAGGACCTACAGGGTGCTGCTGTCAGGAGCGCTTAGAGGGGGTAGATTTTAAAACTGCAGGTCCCTCCTCCTGAACCCCATGCTGCATGCTGGGCGTGAGAAGGGATCTTGACTTGAAATCCGTGCCCTCTCAGCACCCCCTACCCCAGCTGAATGAAACCAGGTTCCTCTTACTCGGTCTGTGGACACACCTCACTTCTTCTTCCCGTCTGCTGGAGTGACTGGGGGTGAGCGGGTGCTGCTTTGGCTGCGACTCTGCATTAAAGTAAAGCCCCAAGGTGACCCCGGTGACTGGCTGGTCTCATGTGCCCCACTCTGGAGAGACCACCCCCCTCGTCTCCTTCCCCCTCAGTTCCCTTCCCCTGCCCCTTTGCCCCTTCCTGCCTGGCCCTCATGTTCGAATGCTTGTGCTGCCAGGTACTGTGCCAGGTCCTGGAGCCACAGCTGGAGTTAAGTTACATTCAATCCTCAGGGAGCCTGCATCAGTTTACCGGGCGTCAGCGCTGTGGGGCTTGACTTCCAGAGCTACTGGCGAGCTTTGCTGTAGGATCTAGGGCAAGTTGTGCCATCTCCTGAGCTTCAAGGCTCTAATCTGTGGAATGGGCATGCACTGGCGTTCGCTCCTGGGGTTAAGGCTGGGAATGAGCTGAGGACTAGTCATACCCAGGCCCCAGTCCACTCCACTGACGGGAGCACAAGTTTTCCTGTTGATGCTCACACCCGGAGTCCAGCTATGCAGGGACTCAAGGTCTTGCTTTGCTGTTTGAGCTTGGTCTGGGGGGCAGGAGGGACCTGTTGCCTGGTTTTTGGAAGAGGGATGGGGGTGTCTGAATGTGCTGTGGACCTCCTGCTGGAGACGCTGGTGTTGGTAAAGTGACCAGAAAGTCATTGTAGGGGTGGAGATCCTCAAGCAACAGTGCTCCTGAAGGCCATTTAGTGACACTGAGCAGATATGTTACCTGGTCTGGAAGTTTCCAGAACCTGTCTTTCCACCTGAGGTGCTTTGGTGGTCACAGCTGGAAAACTGGGCTCAGCTGGGACTTCGGACCGAGTGCTGACCAGGGGTGTTCTTGGCAGAAGCTGCAAGGCTTCTTGGCACCACCCTCAGGAGGCCCAGCCAGTCGCCCCCAGTGGCCCAGGTCACCAGGCCTGGCTCAGTTTGGGGAGACGACAGCTGCTTCCTGGAGAGGGAGAGGCGTGCACATCGCAGGTGGGCGCTGGCGGCTGTCTTGGGCCTAGAACCTGTGAGCTCTGGATCCAGGCTTGTGGACCGAATCTTTGTTTTGCCGCCCCCTGGAGGTGTGTCTGGCGATTTCTCTGTTCTGTGCCTTGTTTACCTGTCCAGTGAGATGGCAGAGCTTGGAATGGAATTGATGGATTTTCTGCTGTATACTTTTTTACAGGCAAGAAAGAGTAACAATGTGGAAGGTACAGTTATGAGCAAAACCAGGCGCTGGGTGAGGAGGTCCAAGGCGCGACCCCCACGCAGACATCCGCGGCCCCCATGTAGACGTCTGTCGGCCCTGAGGGGGTCCCCTCCCCGCTGACCCGTGGTCTCCCTTCTGCTTTCCAAGCTGTGGGTGAGGCAGTACTGGATGCTTCCACCTCGGACCTTCGGCTCAGGGTTAAGCCGTGCGTTTCTGAACGTGGGGAGGGAGCTGTGGGATGGCCGGGACGTGCTGCCTCCCTGGTGTTTCTTCCCTCCCGAGGGGCCTCAGCTGAGCACCCTCCAGGTAGGAAGGGGCAGCCGTAGGCCTTTCTGCATGCAGGCCTGGAGGTGTCGCTTGTTTGTGGGTCTGGATGGCGGCGGCGCTGCCATGAGCTGCCTTTGAGGGCCTGGACCGTGTCCATCTCTGCTGAATGGGCTTTTATCCTGAGGTCTTGGCTTTTGCTGGAGCGTGTTTCCTCTGCCTGCTGGCTGCCCACCCAGGAGGATTTCCCCGACACAGGAGCTGTCTGTGTGCTTGGTCTCGGGTTTGCGGCTTGCCTGCCAAGACTAACGTTAGCAGCACTAACAGTGTTGATGGGTGAGTGAGCGCTCAGTGTGTGAAGGCACATCCCGTGGTGTGTCAGGGCACTCCCACGTCAGGCGTTAGCCCTGCTCGGGGCGAGACGAGGTGACGTGTCCCAGGTCAGAGCTGGAACGTGTTCTATCCACTGCTGCAGTCTCAAACCTCTTCCCGCTCTGTATGACCTTCTGCTTCCACGTGAGCTGAAAAATATCCCAGTGCTGTGTCTGTAGACGAGCGCCCAGAGTGTCTGCTTCCTTCACAGTTTCTTCGAGCAGTGGGCAAACGCATGAATTCCACACTCTGCCGGCTGCCGGAGACACCAAGAGGGAGGAGATTGGGTCTTGAGTCTAGCGATGCCCTGATTAGAGCAGAGACAGAGGCTTGTCCAGGAGGAGACTTTGAACGGAGTATGGGAAAGCACCAGCAGGGCCAGGGGCAGTGAACTTCACTCTTTGTGAAACCCATCGTTGGGTCTCTTTCCATTACAGAAATGAGTAGGGGAAGGCCTTTGGTCAAGCTTAGGGCCTGGGTTTCCTACAGCTTCTGCTGTCAACTCGAGCTTCCTGCTCATGCACGCCCTGGGAGGCGGCAGGTGACAAGTCAGGTAACTGAGTCCCTGCCCTCCTGGGGGGACACCTG